CGTATTCCGCAAAGTTCCCACTGAACTCGCCCCACTGTCACCACCGTATCTACCGGGCTCTCCTCAAGCCAACAGTCTGCCTCCCGAGCTGTGTTCATGCCAATTTCTTAGCAACTGAGCACGCTCAACAAGTGTAATGTGTCTTACTAGTGTTGACTGCACTCCATCTATGCCCGGAGATAGGGCAAATTATGTGCCAACAAACGCACGCCTTTCCTTATAGTTTATACATTTACTACTGTTTCAATGAACTATAAGTATGAAGGTGTAGAAAGCATAGTTGCCTTGGTTAAGTCAGTAAAAGCACTCTTACTATTGGTCAGTCTTCTTTCTCGGCGTCAAGCGTTTATCTACCTTCTCAGTTACGAGTTCACGCTTGCCGGCTAAGTCCACTAGCCGTTCTGATCCGAATCGTCTAGGCTATTCTGCACGTGGGAACCAATGAGTAAAAGAGTTCGTCCGTTCCGACTAAGACATTCGAAACCAAAAGGAGTTCATAACAATATTTAGATGCTCAGGAACGCGGGACCGAGAATTTTGCATTGTTCAGCCTACCCAATACGTCAAACTTGCTGGTTGGGTCACCCTAACCCACTTGGGATGTTGACATATCAACTGCCACCATTGACAAAATCAAGCGCGAGCCGGTACTGTTAAGCGGAGCATGACACCTATTCGTGTTGACCCCCACTATCCCTGCTGAATGGTAGCGGCGACCAATTTATAACTATCTTGACTGATCTACTCATCATTATATGATATAAGGTTGACTTGCTCTGCGTCTAATAGCTGTCTATTCTTATTCCCACATTTCGAACAGGCCATAGGACGTTTTGTTGAAGTCATCATGATATCAGTTTGGTCCGAATTGTATCCAAACTGCTTGCGTGCACATTGATCCAAGTTCCTTGTGACCCCAGACAGGTCAGATATGGTTTGGACGGAGCACGACGGACTAACAGTGCGTTCAGGGCAACTGAATATAAGCATGCAGTATAAAGCACGACAACGGGAATTAGTCCTTGCAAAACTACTACATTGGAATGGTGGTCCAAATCTATGATCCATCGATTCATGAGCGGCATATTTTTGATCGCTATCCATACTTTGGTTTGGCTGTCGTAGGGAAACTAGACAGACGGTGCCGAATATGTCACGTTCACAAATCACTAATATGGTTGGCGGCATCCGGTTTCGTATTTGCCTGTCATTGTGACTACCCACAGGACGCCTGCGCATACAAAGGGACCATGGGTCGCTTGCGCTGCACTACCCACAGCTCCAATCACACACATTTGATATCCAGTGTAAACCCGAAGAAATAAGACCGGGCGGCATGTGGATGGGAGCCACGTTACATCACCGGAGGCGGCCCACACTCCTTCACAGGCAAACACAAACACGCTGTATTTGGGAATCAGTCGCACACAAGGCGGTGGCTGGACCGTGATCCGCTCCACACTGAGTGCGTGAAACCACTTTTCGATCCTAGCATGACCACAAGGACCGTGCACCCCGTCCCCTCCAGCAACCACCAACTGTCTCCTAGAGCAAGTATGGACGAGGTAGTGGGTAATAGACAGGTAGGCACCTTATCAATATGCACATCGAGCACAACCACACCGAAGATGTCAAACAACAGCCAATCACTTGAATGAGGATATTAAACATAATAAATCAGACAAGGCATACGGATATGCAGACTTAACTCTTCACTAAATTAGCAAATGAAATAAACTCGTTATCAACATATTCGCGATAAACTCAAGATGGCAGGAGCAGAGATCAAACGTGAATAAAACTAACGAAATTAACCACCCTTCATTTGTGCTACATACGTAAGTAGATAGAAAACTTTCAGACAGACATTGAAATGTGGTAACAAGGTGAATATTAACAAGCTATGGCAAACCAATCATCTCAAAGATACTCAGCACTCAAGTACGTGGTTAATAAATCGAATGCCGCGTACCTACCGATGCTGCGCCGGTTCTGATTACGTTCTCAGTATTATTTTCAGACACCAGTGCGCCAATCGTCGTGTTGTTATCAAACGAATCCGGCCGCTTACTGTTTGCGCACCCGATGGTCTCCTCGGCAGCAGCTATCACTTGACTGCAAATGTGGTGCCACAAGTCGGCCACTGTGGCTATGCATTCCCCATAATGCATGTGTGCAGCCATCGCTTTCTCCAACCCCATCCTCTTCTCCATAGTACCGAGGGAGAGAATTTTAAATTTACGCCGATTCACTGCAGGAGTGCAATAAAGTGATTCACGAGAATATATGTATAGTTTGGTCCGTGTCAACTTGTGATCAGTGACACACTCCGCTCCACGCGGTACAAGTGTCATGCGCACTTCACGCATATCACGCTGACGTTCGATGACATAGTCGAGCAGGTGAGCGTGACCACTCCTTGGGTGCGTCCAAGTTGCTATATCACTCGCACTCAGTGCAAACCGAGTGTTCGTGATCGTCAGACCGTGAGTGGCACACAGTGCGAGCAGCTTGTCACCGTTCGCATTCGCTGAGCCAATGCCATGCGAACCGCTAACATCTCCACGCTGATGCATCACATCCAACGCGCGCGTTGAAATCACCCAGCAGAAATAGTCGGTCGCTTCTCGGCACAGACCATATCACGGAGAATAGCTGGGTGTAGCATTGGTCACGCGTGTCATCAGGATAGCACATGGCTTATGAAATTGGCAAACTTAACTCTTTGGGGTCCTCAGCGAACAGTCATCAGTAGCATGCGAATTCCTGTTGGATCACCCGTTAGCTGATCATTTATTCGATCGAATATTGCTGCTGAGGTGGCCGGGTCTCACTGAGCGCCGCAATATCGATGTTGTAGCTCGCCAGTTCCATTGTGACCACTGCAGTGCGTCGCTCGGAGGAATCACTCGAGTTCCGGTCCAGTAGTGTGCGCACGTTCTAGCACCCGATGTTGAGTGCTTTGCGTGCGGACATACGATTATGTTGGTGAACAAACGCGCGCATGGTGGTGGTTGTGCTTCGGTTTGCTTGAGAGACTCCACGCGGAGTCTTTGGCTCAATAGCCTGACGCACAAGGTAGTGGGTAGTATAGAGCTTTGCTTGAGGGACTCCACTCGCATCCTCTGGCTATATAGCCTGACCTACAAGGCAGTGGGAGGAGATCGAGCTCGGGAGTTTGATTGCAGGGAACCATTGGAATCTGCCTAAGGTCTGTCACACGCAGTCTGAGCATCTGGGACAATTCATATATGTTTCGCGACAGTAGTAGAATACACCCCTGCGATCACGGCCAGACGTAAGGGGTTTTGGCGGGTTTGTGCCAACTTGACCAAATGCTGTCTGGCTTGAGACGTGCGGTAACAAACCTTAGAGCTCCCGGAGCTGCCCTCTCATCGTCAGACACAATGCATGGCGCTCGTGCTCTATACCAACCGTATACCAGTTGTATCTCATGGCTAGGTTTTACTGGAAGAGGGCCATCCACCACTTCCTCACCTCCGAAGAGGATGGACTAAGATACTGGCAAGGCGCCCACACCTGAAATAAGAACGATTCTGGTCATCAGCCAACGCCTTTGGGTAAATGTACACCCGAAAGGTAGCGGGTCTAGCACATGATCAATTCACTGACTCACGCGGACTGGCGTGTGTCCTGGATCTTAGCTAGAAGAAGGGCGTAACCCAACTCCCACCCATTGGTCGCCACGAGGCGTCCAGGACATGAGCCAATGGCACAACGGTAGCTGCAGTGCGTAGACCATCTGTCAGGATCTAGGCACCACCAGCCTCAGCGCACCAAATGCTTTCACTCCTGCTAATGCACATTACAACAAGCATATTAGCACTCCATATGTTGAAGTGACTCATCCACAACCCGCTCTATGGTGACATCATTTGCGGGAATAATATTCTTGTTGATCTTTCCCTATGTAGGGACAGTCTCGCATTGTCGAAAAATGAATGATTTATTAACCTTTTTATTTAGTAGCACTATTGCTTTCATATTCTTGAACTTTAACTGCTGCTCTGAATATTACCATCATCCTTATTAATTTTTCCCATCTCTTGTGTCAAGTCAACTGAAACCATCGGTACGCGGATCATAGTCGGGGACTGAATTGAACTTTGCGGTTAGGGCAAGCACTGGATTGCGAACAATGAAGCATTACGTGGTACCAATTCGACAACAGTGTGTCTGTTCTAAACGCTTCTCGTCTTTGTTACTTACCGTAATACAGAATTTCACTTCTCACTTCAATCTCAGACCTGCTCGAGGACAGCTCATAGAGCCGATCTCTTCACGAGGGCATTCGTAGAATACATACACTGTTTAGCTTTGCATGATTCGAAATCTCACCCCCACCTGTTTTCTTTCGCTCTTGTCAACAACAACTTGTTCTTCCATTCCCTCCGCCATGTTTGTATGCAGTAGACTTTGGTTTTCTTTGGAGAGAACTTAACATTTCTATCTCACAGCTGGCCCTCTGTCTGATGTCACTTTTACTGGATCTTTTTTCTTGACTGGCGATGCTACAAATGTTTTTTGAGTCATAGCGTGCAGTTATTAAGCTGGCTCTCATGGTTCATCGCCATACTTTTGGCGTTTAGCTATAGCATTTGCTTCTCACTGAGATACGTCTAACTATCATGTTAGCAGCTACGCTATGAAGATATCGATAGTCCCTGATCATCCTGTATGAGTGTGTTGGCAACATTCTTTTCTGCAGCCTATATTGTTTAGTTCAGTCAAGGGGTTCGAGCGTGATCGGGTGTTCCTACGTAATGCCTACGACAACCCGTCCCTAAACGGATATCATCTGCACCACCCTTTACTGATTTCCATGTCCCTCCTGTTCATATTAATCGTTTGGAATTACGCTTTGTAGGAATACACAGTTTTAAGTGGCATCTTAACAACGATAACTACTGTTTATTAGTTTTCTTTATTCACATGTTCAGTGGCTTTTGCTATAATCAAACAGCGTTTTCAACTTTTAGACTGCCCATCGGATGCGTCTTTCACGTTCACTCTTGAGCGCCACGAGGAAGTTTTTTGGCGGCACTGTCAGTACTGGATCCAGTGTTACCTCATCCAACAATGCGCTTAATCCGTCCGCTCAGTCATTGACCACCGCTCCTTCCACTCTGCACACTTTTGGCAACTCTCTCGGCATCATTGGAATGTTGGGCAGTGGCGGCCACATCCCCCCAACCAGTAGCGAATCTGTTATGGCACGTACTTCCATCGCTTCGTCTCGTGAAGAATTACGGCCTGCGCTCACGCCACAATCCGCACCAATAGTCGTGTACACCTCAGACGCTTCGGAAATGCAGATGCGTCGTTTGGCCGACTTAGCTTTTCTCTTTCAACAATACGAAGTGGCGCATCAGACGTATAATGTGCTGAGACGGGATTTTCAAAATGACTCAGCCCCTTTGTATTGCGCTGGCGCACAGGTTTGTATCATCCAAGGCTTTCTTCTTATACTTAAGTACACATTTTCCATGCAATATTTGTGTTTTCTCAAATGCACCGCGTTTTGCAATTTTGCTTAGCATATCGGAATCAGAGGAATGCCTTCGTTTTTCTCACAGTATGATTACTCTTCCTTACTTTTTTGTGCACTGCTTTATACTATTTTGATGAGTTACGGCCATATATTATCGCATCGCGGATCTTCCTTATTGTTGATTGTAAAATTCTCCAACCTCTAGCTTCCAGAATGTACCTGGGTCGCACGATCATATTGCCGATGAATTCTATATCAATGGACTGCCGAGCGTAGTATTGCTGAGGTTCAAATCTGGCTATGGATTGCTCTTTATGCTTTATTCATGACCTACTTACTTATTTCTTCCCTTAAGGTTCATGACCGGACCAACTCTCCCGCACATATTTCCATTATGTTCCACGGGGCTAATATATCAGCTCTTTTGTCAGTATGCGAAAGAAGTAAACTCATGTTTCGCTACCTTAGAGCTGTGATCCGTTTCGTGACAGCTGTTAATGGGTATTTGACTGTTCGAAATACCGTTGATATATTTGGGACGTCTCAATCCCCGGATAATGATTAATTAAGCCGTGTCAAAGTCAACATATGCTTTATGCATCCAAATAGGTGTATTATCAGCGTTTACACTATCACTCCGGATACACTAAATGAATGGAACCAGTTAAAATATATAAACATAGATTGAAGAATTAAATAGAACATCTGGTGAGCAATTGCTTTCAACGATTCATCACCAGACCATTACAATCATATGGAGGCTAAAAATAAAATCGACCCAGTTAGTTCAAAACGAATAGATCACTTGGAGGTCTATGTCAGCGATGAAAAAACGAATTAGGTCTTAGTGGGCTAGTTGTTTGCTACCGCGCCTGACCGAAGGCAGTTGACCTTCGCGTCTTCCGTATTCGCTGGCCAGGGAAACTGGAGAGCCTATACCAGCTTCTTCTGTGAGCGTAAGGACGGCTGGAACAATCAAATGCATAGTGTTTCATCTGTCGCAAGTGTACGAAGGCGGTAACCTTTCGTTCGGAGAGGCGGAACCTTGTAAACTATTCGGAAAGCGCGTTTCCAATCCGCCTAGTGGCCGGTGTCCACAATGTGAGCCAGCATGGCGCTATTAATGGTCCCGGCGCCCCCTTGACGCAGCCAGCGATGGCAATGTTCGTTCACTCGTTTGGATAACTGCCGCGCCGTTCGGCCAATATACGTTGCGCCACAGGCGCATACGAATTGATATATTACCATTGAGTTGGTCAACATCAGCATCTTGTCCTTGTTTTATGAACAAATGAATGGTTCCGTTGAAAACACGCACTTCAATGGGGCTGCTGGGAAGCTCGACTTTTTTGCGGCCGAAAGGCTTCCGGTTAGACGCTTGGTAGCCGCGCTCCCTTTTGAATAGAAATCGAATAAATAGCTCTTCTTTGCTGCTGTTAACACTGGCATTGGTCTGGCTTTTTTTTGCAACTTCCCTAAAATAAATCTATCAGGATAACTGTTTTCACCTAGAGTATGCTGTATGAACAACTCCACATCTAGGGTGTCTTCCTTACAGATTCGACGTGCTCTTGAACTAAGACAGTGAACCAAGTTGCGCTTGTATCTCATAGCAACGAAAGTGTGAAAGTTCCTGTACTGATCTATCCACGTTGTTTTTCTGTAGGCCTGACGCTGGATGGATCCGTATGGTCTCCTAGGTTACCGCCTTCGTACACTTGCGACAGATGAAGCACTATGCATTCGATTGTTCCAGCCGTCCTTATGTTCACAGAAGCTGGTCCAGGCTCTCCAGTTTCCCTGGCCAGCGAATACGGAAGACGCGCAGGTCAACTGCATTCGGTCAGACGCGGTAGCAAAAACTAATTCGTTTCCTCATCTCTGACATAGACCTTCACGTGATCTGTTCGTTTTGAATTAACTGGGTCGATTTTATTTTTATCGATGATGATGAATCATTGAAAGCAATTGCTCACCAGATGGTCTTTCGTTCTTGAGACCTAAATGTAAATTTTCAAGTTAATTAAATAGTCGTGTGTGGATATCTTTCAAGTAACCGTGTGCGCAAAGCAGATGGGATCTGCGATTATACTCGGCACGCGAAAATACGATCCGGAGATAAACCACCAACCGATGTCCCAAGAAAAAATATTCATTACACTAAAGGATCCCTCATGCATTTACCCTTTAATGTACTTGCGATAGCAAATACATAGGTCGAACTGAGAGGCTGTCACAGATTCAGAGCATTTCGCGAAACTGATCGCTAAGGCCCGAAGCCCGATGCTCTATTTTTATGACTTTCATAGGGTCGACAGGAAACCGTGACAATTAAGACAAGATGGTGTTACCATACGATGGAGTGCGAGAGAATAAAATTTTTGGGCGTGTGTGAGAGACGGATGACGTTTTTGAGAGTATTGGGCCCCTGTTTGATGATCTACTAAACCAAGAGGCATGAACTGAACATTCAATCAGCGCCTCCCAATGGGCACGATTCCATAAATTCGCCCCGCTGCCCTGCGGGTAGGTTATTTAGCTGAAGGCTCGGAGTGGAGTCCCCTAAGTCAACTCCCTACTTCGCCTTGGGCAACCGGGTAGTATCGCTCTTTCACAAAGCCATGTACTGTACTTCAACGTGCTCATTAGCTACTGTTTCTGCTTCTCACATTCACGCGACTTCATCACACGCCAATTGTTCGTTTGCTAACAGTCCTCACGTTTCGTTTCCCGATTCATGTGTTCAACAGTCTGACTGCGATTTCGGTTGCGCCGCGGACCAAGGAGTTCAACATATGCCTCTTCTTCGTCCCCGAGCCTCGTTCTGTGACGTGCTTTAACCTTCGGACACCCATGCAGATTGGACAGCAAGCCGGTCTAGCGCGCACCCTAGAGTCCCTAGACATTGATATCTGCTGCCTTTCAGAAACCCGGTTGCAAGATCCCAGCACTGTACTTACATTGACATCCTCCACTGACCACGAAGTCAGATATCACCTGCGTCTTTCTGGAGATCCAGAAGCAGCCTCAGCGGGTTTGGCTGATGTACGTATAGCGCTAAGTAGCAAGGCCGTGGCGGCACTATAAGAATGGTTCCCGATTAACAGCCGACTATGTGTAGTTCGTCTTCGGGGTTCCTGTAGAATCAACAAGCGCCACGAAAGGAGACGTAACTTGTTTGGGATCTCCGCGTACGCTTCAACTGACTGCAATGGCGACTCGGTCAAGGACGAATTCTACGGGGAGCTACATCAGCTCTTGACTAGTGCTAAAAGATCGGATATCGTTATCCTTGCTGGGGATTTTAATGCACAGGTTGGCCGCCTGTTACCATACGAACGCCACCACCACGCGCTCGATGAGAACCGCTCTGATAACAGAGAGAGGCTTCTCACATTGTGCGAAGACAATCATCTGTTTCTCTCGAGCACTAACTTCGGGCGTACGAAGAAGCATTCCGCAAGGTGACCTCATCCTCCGCTAACACATCCGTGGTCTTAAATTGATCACATTGTAATTAGCTTCTGATGGTGTGGCAGCGTACTGGACTGCAGGTCCTTTTAGTCCACCATCGTTGACTCAAATCATTATGTCATTATACACGTCAGTCAGAGGTGGAAAACACCTCAGCTACTGTGCCGCAATACATAAAGGAAAAGGAAAATAAATACAACAGCTGCATGCCAGCTGAGCTACCAGCAACGGATAGGCATCGTTCCGGTAAGCTACCAGCCGGCTACTAGGCAAAAAGAAAAATTATTATGTAAAATTATATTACGCTACGAAATGAGATCGTGGTTGGAGGGGGAGGCTAAAAGGGATGGGGAGGGACAAAGAAACTCACAGCACGAACGCCACTGAGGTCGGCTCCTTGCCATGTCAGCAAGTGTATCCAGCCAAACGTGTTCACCGTCTTTTGGACCCCAACCAGGGAGCCGTGACGCTCCAACCGAGGCCAGCTCCGAAGTGAGGGCCTTCATTCCTCTGGACCAAGTCATCGCTTGGCCACCCCTCCTCTTCTTCCATCCACATCCCCGGTGAGCAAACAACGCACGTCGTGGAAGTCGATGGGCTGGCATGCGCAACACGTGGCCCAGCCATCGGAGCCTGGTGCGTGAAGTGACGGTGCTGAGCGGTTCAGTTCCTTTTCCTGTGCCGTAAACAAGGCGTCGAACACGCTCGTTACTCACGCGGTGTTCCCACCAGATGTGAGCCAAACTGCGAAGGCACCGATGGTCGAACGTAACTAGCCTCTTCATGTCCGCCGATCTTAAGGGCCAGGTTTCGCAACCGTACAGTAAGGTCGAACGTACCGCTGCATTGTACACTCTACCCTTCAGGGCGAGAGTAATGTCGCGCCGCCGCCATAGGTAGCGAAGGTTAGCAAAGCACTTCGAGCTTTTGCTATACGGTTCGTGATCTCGTCTTCAATCCCAAGGGCGCTGATACAACTTCCCAGGTAGTTGAATTTCCGAACGACTTCTAGCTGATCCCCACCAAGGGTCAGCGCAGTAGGCGATCCCTGCCAATCTTGGAGGAACGCTTTGCATTTCGATGGTGCAAAGCAAAGGCCGAAGCGGCTGAGAGCCAGTTCTAATCTGTCCAGCGCGGCTTGGCACGTCTGGGAGCTGTCACAAATGAGGGCAATGTCGTCTGCATACTCCAAGTCAAGAAGTCGTTCTCCTGGGAGTAGCTCCACACCTTCCAAGTCGTCCTGTAAATGCAATCTCCATGACTTTGTCAATAGCAAAGTTGAAGAGGAAAGGTGACAGCGGGCATCCTTGTCTCACACCGCTGGAGAGATTGAAGGGTGGCGACAGCTTGCCGTAAGTCCTCACTCTGCCCGTGCTACGCGCGTATAATGCTTGGATAATATTTACATATTTCTCGGGCACACCTTTCCTGAGTAGACAATTTCAAAGGGCACATCGATCAACCGAATCGAAG